CATCAAAATAATTATATGAGATGTTGAAATTGGTTGCTGGAATGTCAAAACATTTTGCAACACATTACTCATCGTGCTTAAAATTTTTATAAAATTATTTTCAGGTCTAGCTAAATTTTTAGATACTTCAGTAAAATCGATTTTGAAAAAACGATCTCGTTTTTCCCACGTATAAGCTAAAACGGAAAAAATTAATTTGCTAAATAGCAAACAATTATAATAATAACGTTACAATCGTGTCTGAATGATCCGACTGTTATATAAGAAAATATCAATCTAAGATTGAGTAATCGAGGATTAATCAACGAAGACAAGCAAGTGTTGTTTTCTTTTGACGTGACTTCATCGTGATGCGCGATACTAATCGCTTCTGTCAATGCTCTCGGCGGACTGATCGCGGCAGTTTTTAGCGAGATTGAAATGAGCCTTGCGTGGATATATCGAGCCGAGTAATAAAGGATACTACTCATTATCGGCGGAGTGTAATCGATGGTTTTATGACTCAGGTTCTGCCACGATGTGTACGCCTGGCACGATAAAAAGACGCCGGATAAACCGAATACTGGACAGACGATGAAGCGCGGTGAAAAACGTTTAATTGGACTAGATTGTGGGACGGCCGAGGTGGTTGGAGCGTAGATGACCGGTTCGCGCAGGCACGTAAAGTATTGACGGTGAACTTCGGAAAATTCTGCCTCACGTCGAGAGCGCCAAGCCGTACGCTAAATTGCTCCCCCGATGTATTACCAGGAAGGGCGTACGGAATTTAGAGTACGCGTATCCTCTTATCGCCGAGGTTACGCCGCGGCGGAAAGAAGGTCGTCGCTATATACTCGACATCGAGGCTTTAATCGCGTAACTGTACCCCGCCGCCCGTTCTAACCCTTCATTAGGCGCGCATCTACTTTACGTGATTTTTATTTTAGCGACCGACCGTCCGTACCACCGCTCTCCCGCACCCGGCGCGAATATCGTACGTACGTAAAATGCGGCTTAAATTAATCCGCGTGTAATGGTCTCACAAGGTTATTCTCCTCGATCGTTCCCGATGCTGATGGCGCGTGCGCTTCATCGTACTAGGGTAGTACATGAGATGGATACGATGATTCCTGATGTACGAAGCGGGAGATGGAAAGAATATTCATATTTTGCAATTGTAAAAATATACGCTTAATATAATATCTGACAAATTTTTTAACGGGGGAAATTAAACAATATCATTCCTTTATGAGATATGAAACGATCGAAATTCAAATACATCACGGAAAAGACGATTTTGCTAAAGTATCTAAAAATTCAGCTAGATATTGATTTGAAAATATATTTGTTGAAACTTCAAAATAATACATATAAATCTTAAAAAGTTTTGCAGCATTTTAACAACCAATTTCAATGTACTACATAATTATTTTGATGATTCAAAATTATTTCCAAATCTGTGTCTAATTAAATTTTTAGATATATTATCAAAACTGTCTTTTCCGTATAGACTCAAAAAGATACGCATTATAAATATAATTTCACATTTAAAGCAAACTCTCTTCCTCTTTCTCTCTCTTGAAACCAATGGACTCCGATTCCAGATAGCTCGTGTATGCGATACGTATCTCGCGAGCACGAGCGGCCCAGGAAGCCATCTTGTTAAACTCCAGGGATTTCCGGGCAAGGACGAAAGGATCATTAGCGTCGGGCTGGATTCATCGCTCATACGCGAGTTCCCGTGCGATGAAAACTGCATGAAGAAAAGACAGACACGTCCCGTCCCGTCGATATAAATAAAGTATCGAAGGGATGGACACACTTCGGCTCGTCCGAACACAACGACGAGCGAAATGAAAAATGCCGAGACGGCCGATCAATGTAAATATATTCATGACGTGGGGTGGCCGAGCGGCCACAGGGATGCCGGGATATACACATACGCGTGTACGGCGGGGTATTATAGAATGGGGTTCGCCGAGGACTCGATGGCACTTGGACGGCACATAATTCACTTTTTGGCAGCTCATTACAATTTAAAAAGGCCTTTGTCAGTGTACTACTCGTGATTTCGTTCACGGTCTCGTGGCGCTCGCGCATCGCCGCACCTTCGGTGGCAGCTAACGATGCTCTACTTAGTTACTTCGTCATGTGTTGAGTCTTCAATATGAAATTAGAAACGTAAATTAAATCCGGTTACGCGATGTTAAGAACCTGAGCCAAATTAAATAAAATCAAGTTGGATATTTTGTTCAATATTTGAGTTAAACTAAATAATTTTTTTGTTAAATATTTAAAATATATAAAACATTTGTAATTTCTATATATACGCTTCGTAAGGTAAAGTGTTTATAATGTCTACGCTTATATACGTTTGAAAATTTTTTAACAATTATTTATTAGAAAAAAAAATAATCACGCAGTTGTGATAGTATCTTTCTGTACGTGTCGCATCCAAAACGTAATCTAATTAATTATATTCATTATCTCAACAATAATTTTGCCGTTATGCACGATCGACTTTTACCGCCAGGAACGTATATCACAGATTATTATCCTAATCACTGACGGATCAATAATGACGAGTTCGTTTTCTCTCGTCCGCGAAACCGGTTTGAAACAAAGAATGACGATAGGCCAGGAGATTTCTAATTTAAGTCGTTCAAACGGCTACATCGAAAGAGAAATAAGTACGTACGCGTTTTCGAAACTGATTCCGGCCATTATAGTCATCTTCTTTACATTGATAATTTTGAATTGACATACAAGGATGTATACTGATTTATAATACAAGAACATATAGAATTATTAGTATACCGAAGAAACTGATATTTTCCTAATGATACAGTAAAAATGTAAATATACGGATAATAATTATGTGAACAATGAATTTGTTTTCGATATTTGTTATGATATTTAATATTGAAGTAAGTTTATGAAAATTTCTGTTTTAAAATGCCAACAGTTCCATATTGATACATGATATTTTCAAAACGAGTATATATGAAACAACAATAGTAACAAACCCGTTACTCTTTTCTCGATATTCATATCTCTCCAATGCCACGTAAAAATAACAGGTCTCTAGTCTTTAATGGCTAATTGGTAGCGCGCAAACTAAAAAGCGCGCGCTGCAAAAATTTATTCAAAACTCCGCTAATCGGTGAGCGGCCGACAAGCGTTTGAGTGCCCGATTATCCCGTTGATTACGCATCTCGCTCGCGTTTTATACTTTAACACGTTTGTTAATCACTCTAATTCGCCTTCGACGAGCATTCACGAACCCGGCAATCCGCGAGAATAATTACTACGTACGCCGCTCGTAACGTGTGTGCCTTTTTGCGCAACGAAATACGTGCGAGATTGCGACACCTTTTGTCCCGACGTAACACGGAGAGTCGAAACCGGACAGAACCGGGTGATAAAAAAAAGACAAAAAGAGAGCGTGGTGTGTGCAACTGCGTTCCCGCGGGATCGGGCGGAGAAGGAGAAGCCCGAAATTGATATGTATTCCATGCCGCGCCGCGTCCAATCTATCGTGGGTCAAGCAGGCGGAATTTTAAGCGCGGTTTGACGTATGCGCGTGTACGTACGTGCGTATCGCGTGCGCGAGTGTGCCGGGTGCCGAAATAGCCCCAGACGATGAAACTGTGCGAAACACAGTGGCCGAGCGGCTCCCGTGTTCACCTCCTCGCATTCAGAAACTTACGAGGGCATAAAGTATCCCGATGTCTTATATCGTCGAATACACGCGTGTTCGAAGATACGTGTGCGCGCGCGCGCGCGCTTCTTTCTATTGTGCAAAGGGGTGGCGCGCGGCCGCGATGCCCAACGAGGGTTGGGCGGCGGTCATCGTTGGAAAATTGAATTTCGTCCCTGAGGGCCAGTCGGATGAAGTATGCTGACAGTTGGAAAATTTGCGTTTAACCGCGCGCACGCGACACCAGGCGCCGGAATATTAGATGTTAAACTTAATTCCTACCGTTTTTTCGTCTCCAAAATTGATTTGTTTCGAAGGGAAGATGAATGAATATCTTGATCAAAGTAATTTCCTCCATTTTCTACTACTTTTTCCCATCTCTCTGGCAACAGGGCAATCCCACGACGGTAGAACGCGGTGTCTTTCGAGGCGATCCATTCATCCAACCATTTTTGGACTTCGTTGTGACTGGAGAAGTGTGTGTCCGTAAGTGCGTGTTGCATCGAACGGAAGAGATGGTAATCCGGCGGTGCCAAGTCTGGAGAGTACGCTGGATGCGGGAGAACTTCCCATTCAAGCTCTAGAAGTGCCTGCTTCACGCTTTTCGCGACATGCGGTCGAGTGTTATCATGCAACAAAATGACTTTGAGTCGATTGTTGGCTACGGATGATCTTTTTTGCATCAATTCGTCACTCAATCGGCCTTTGGAGTAACATTTAACTGTTTCGACAACTCTAAAAGCGTTTGAGCTGGATTCTCATCAAGCAATTCTTGCAGCTCGACATCTTCAAATTTTTTCAGCTGTCCTGGACGTTCTTTGTCTCTCACATTAAAATAACCGTTTCGGAAGCGTTCAAACCAAATTCTACATGTTCTTTCCGATGGAGTTTCATCACCATACACGTCGGATAATAAGCGATGCGCTTCAACTGCGGTTTTCTTGAGGTCGAAGTAGTGAAGAAGCACATGTCGGAAAAACAGCTTATCGCGATTCATTTTCAATCGATTGGAAAATCTCTTTGGCGTCGAGAAATCTAACCTGTGAGGATCGAATCGCTTTCAGCGATGTCTAAACTACAAAAGACATAGACTTCATCGTCGAAACTCGCCAGCGTTGGAGCCAGCTGCACCCTCTAGTAGCGAGCGGCAGGAATTAAGTTTAACACCTAATATATTATCCCCAGGAAAATCTTCCCGCTATTCTCTCTTTTTTTTTCACCTTATTCCCTCTTTACTTTTTTTTCACAAGTGCGCTCGAAACGTACGAGTTTCGATATCACGAAATGCTCGATGATTATTTTAAAATACGCTTGGACTTACCGTGAGGCACCCATCCATGATGACAGTTCTCGCAGTAGCGCAGATGACGTTTCCCGGGTGTGAAAGATTCGCAAGAGCAGCCGTTCACCGTACAGCGGATAGACTGCAATCAGAAACAAGTGCGTCACTGTAGAGAGACTATTAAGTTACAGAGAAAGTATCGTATAACATTTAGAAAGAGTCGTCAGCGGTGCCTATTCAGCAGGAAGATTTCGTCTATCTATATCCCACGTACCTCAGTTCAGTACGGATTAAGGGACGATTGCCGTAGGCAAGTGGAAAATGGACGACAGGGGTTCTTGGTATTTTGAGTGACCGTTTGGCGTAACGCCACCCCAGAGGAAGCTCGTAAGAGACAGGCTCGTCGGATTTTAAGGAACCGTGAATATTTTCCGCCCTTTGGCTCGGAATTAACCCCCTGGGATCGACCATCCAATATCGCCTCCTACATCCTCGAAGAGGAGGAAAGGAACCGACCTCGCGTATTGGTATTATTTTATATATACGAGAACGCGGTAGAAAACTTTATTCGCCGCGCTGTTGCAAGTTACCTGTAGGTCGGTATGTACCTACATCGAGATATCGACGTATCTCGTCGCCGCCGCGCAGTGCTGCATCGAGACGAAAAGGCGGCATCCCTTCCCCTTCAACATCCATGTCTATTATAGATCTGAAAGTTCGCCCACGAGCAACACGAATATGCACTAGGAAGTTCGATTCGCAATTATCCCGCTAATGCACTTGGGGGACCGTCCGAGATTTTACGTAACACCACGTTGTATCGCTTTTAGATATTGCGACTTAATTTCATCTAATCTTTTAATAATATATTAGCAACGAGTTTAATTTTACTTCACCGGAAAGAACGGTTTTGTTGAACTATCTAAAAATTTAGCTATACTAAGATAAGACGAAATGTATTAAATTTTAATGAATATATTTATTTACCGTAAGTATAATAAATAAATTAAATTTATTCTATATATTCAAATAAAAATATTTATTAAAACTTACAATTAGTACATTTTTCCTCAGTGTATAAATACACCTAGATCGGAAAATAGTTGTGTTTGGATTATTAACATAATTATGCGAGACGCTGAAACTGCTAGAATGTTAAAAGTTTGCAGCATTGTCATCAATACTTAAATGTTCTATACATAATTATTTCAATGATTCAATAATTATTTTCTGTGTTTACCAAATTTTTTAGATATTTTGGCAAAACCATTCTCTGTGTACGGCTCTTAAATCCTTAATATTCTTCATATAACATTATTTTTTTTTATGACAGAAGAATTTATAATCATTTTCTTGGTTCTCTCTCGAATTATTTTTTTTTAATTTCTTTTCGCTACGATTAATTCAACTTGAGAGAAAGTTTACCTTCTTTTTCTAATAAAACACATAAATAAATATACACTTTCCTGACTTTATCTTCGATCACGATCATCACGCATCTTCCATATCAGCGAAAACGCAATTTGCCGAGAGACGCAGCAACCCCCGGCGACGTTCGCAGGAGTAATAATTTGGAATCAGGGGCAGTTCTCGCTGCCTTCGTCCCTCGTAAAACGGCAGCGCGTTTATATAAAGAGGCGAAAAAAGGGCCGCGAGAAAACGCTGGGAGGGGTAAAAAGTTGTTTCACAGCGGTGTTAGACGCCGACGCTACCCGTTGTGTTGTCGTCATAACGCCGTTACGGCGTTACACAGCGGCGTTAATATAAAGACAAATGAAGCGACGCCACGGTGCACGCTGTGCCGCCTCCTGCTCTGCTCGGCTATGTGTCTTTATATAGACAGTATCCCGTGCCACCGTGAAAAACGCATCCGCCGGGAATCTTCTGTCGCGCGAAGAAGCGATGCGCGAAGACGACGTGTTCGACAAAATTTCGCAAGCGGTAAAATTTTATTAGCCACACCGCGGGTTATTTATTCGGAACGGCGACAGATTATACGGCGATATTAGCGGAGCTGCTCCGCGTAAGAGGGAGCATTACATCAGAATAAAAAAACGTGCGCGGTATAACGTCTTGCTCTTCGCAAGCAACTTTCTTCTCTTTCCAGGTGGATTTCATTAATAGTCATTATGATACTTTCATCCAATTTATTTATGTAATTTTCAATTTTTTTTTAATTTTTATGGCTCTTTTAATTTTTCCCTTCTATTCTATAAAACAAATTTATAATTGACTAAAATAAAATATATCTCTTTTATTATTTATTTATTTATTTATATATGTGCATATTTTTGATATACACGTGATTTTTCTTAATTTGTTTCTCAATATATTGTTGAATTCCGGAAAAATATGTGATTAAAGCTTTGTAAATGTTAATTTAATAAGGAACAGTTCACTGATATATTTAAAGATAAAATTCAACTGTGAACAAAATATATTTGCACTGCTTTGCACACAATCTATACGTTTATATATTACATTATCGTAATACTGTACGCGTAACGCTTCCTGGATCTTTCACTTCCGTCTGGCATTGTCATTCTATTTGTCTTCCAAACGTGATAATACACTAGCCTCGCGATGACGAATGCCATTTCTCGAGTTACATGCACAGAAGGTGTGTCATTTATTCGTTCCAGTTCTTTTTCATGATATTCCAAGCCGACTTCTCTTACATACGTTTGAATCAAAGTCTAGTTCACGTATCGTCAAGTCCGATCAATGTGCTTATATGCATACCGAGTTCGAAGTAATGAGCTGAATAACCAGGAAAGAAATGATTCCTACACAGAAAGAACGATTTTGCTGAAATATTTATTATTTTTTAAAAATTTTTATTAATATTTAAAAATTTAGTTAGGTACAATAAAAATAGTTTTATTGGACAAAATAATTATGTAGGACGCTCAAATTCGGTTGCCAGAGTGTCAAAATTTTTTACAGCATTGCTCATTAATATCAAGTTTCCTACGTAATTATTTTAATTGTCCAATAAAATTATTTTTAAATCTGTACCTACCTAAATTTTTACTAGCAAAATCATTCTTTCCATATAGTCATAGAATACGTCGATTTTTACACCCCAACTCTGTTTTTAAATTATTCACCGTTCAAGTTCGTTGTACACACGCAGCGCTATAGTTTCAGATTTTTTTCAATATACTTCAACCTAATAAAAAGTTAAATGACTAAAGAGTGTCTACCTGCCGATACATCCGAAAACATATACGACTCTACAAATCACAATTCCGTAAAACTTGTACCGTGAATAATTTATAAAATAATACCATGTTTATAAAAAAGAAGTCATTTAATATTAAAGAAGAAAAATGTAAAACTGTGCCGACATAATTATGTATAAAGTTTCTGCGACCCCATAACTAATGTAAAATAGCTTTTTTTCAAGTTGCTTTTCATAATTCATTACGTCATTTTTCCACGGCTGATATAACGCGGATCTGCCGCGATGCCGGTGCACAACTGCGAATGGATTCGCCAGGTTCTGGCTTGAGTGTCTCTATCACCTCAGTCGTTCCCCTTTTACTTTCGCGTACTGTCTTCTGGTATCGCGTCGTACAGAAGGCAATAACATTTTTACGAGCCTCGAAACATTTATTACCGCCTGTAAGCCGCCACGCGGTTTTTCGTCTTGCTCTTTTCCTGATACTCGCTGCTTAAGGATGCACCAGTTCCCGCGAACGTGTACGTACATGTATAAGTATCACATATATGAACTTCATCTTGGATAACGTCTTTCGATTAGGGCGATAACAGCTCTGGGAATGTCTACTCAAAGACTCCTTCCATTCTTCGATGCGATTAATAACCCGGAAGTGGCCCCAATGACAACTTTTTCCGCCGTTAGTATTTGTTGTTACAATTTTTATCGACATCCTTTTGTCTGAAACTATAAGCGAACAATACGCCCCGCTCATCAATATCTTTAACATTCTAGTTTAAGAAAGGAGATTCGAAATACATGGAAAGGTAAACTGTTTTTATTAAAGTATCAAAAAATTTAACTAGATACGTATCTGAAAATTTTGTTATCAAAATAATTATGTAAGATGTTTAAGCTGATTGTTAGAACGTCAAAGCTTCTTACAGCATTGCTTACTCTCTAAATCTGAATCAGTAGTTATTAATTACCCAGTGATATACTTGGCACTGATAATCGGTGAAGTTCAATTAAAAAAGGAAGAATGTTTGAGCATTATATAACTAAAATACTGATATTTGCACGTTAATTTCAATCTTCCAATACCATATTCATTGAATTTAAGCAATAAAACAAGGTTAGTTAGATCACACAATAAAAATTAGCTTATAGGTTAGGGATCTCACATTTAATTCACTGATTACCAATGGCATACTTGGCACTGATATCATTATTCACTGATTCAGATTGAGAGAGTATCATGCTTATGATTCCTATCTATGTAATCATTTTGATAATCCAACAAAATTATTTTCAAATCTGCATCTAGCTAAATTTTGAAATACTTCAGCAAAACTGTTCTTTTCGTGTATGTATTGATTATCGGAAATATTTTTTTCAAACTAATATTTGTATTTAAACTTACATTTGTAGAAAATCAAGAGAAAACATATGGATGGTTGTATATCCGAAGAATAAAAAAGAAATATCATAATAATATAAAATTGGATATATTAAGATCGTATAATCTCTGCAAAAATTGATTGAAATTAAAAATTTATACTTTTTGTATAAAAAACTTATTGTTATATACATATAAAACAGTTTAACAAGATCAATATTTATATTTAATAATATAGTATATACGGTTAAAATAAAAATGTTATCATTTTATCTTAATTATTTTTAAAAACATGTCTAATTCTTATTGGAACGATTTTTTATCCGGGTTCTGAATTGTCGCAAACTTTTATTACTTTCAAATACAATATTAAAAAATCTAATTTTTTCATAAATTTTTAACTTTGTTAAAAAATTCGTATAATGCAAAAACTTTCTGCAGAGTGTACAAACAAAATAAAGATTATTACAATACATTATAGTAACTTTCACACGAATATTTTTTCTTTTAAAAATATTGGCTATCGACACTAAATGAGTATTTATCACATGTCAGAGGATTTGTATGTACGTGCTTTTGA